CCCGCTCCCCCTGCTTGTGTTCCCTCTCTCACTGTGTCTCTCTCTGCCAAATAAATAAATAAAATCTTTAAAAAAAAAAAAAAAGAAATGTATTTTCAACAAATCCTCTCAACCCCATGAGGTATCATCCCCATTTTACAGGTAAGTGCAATGAAGCCCAGAATGGTAGCGATTTTTATGTACTGAGTAGTCATTTAGGATTTACTATGTGTGAGACAGCACTCTGGATGTAGACAGGACCTTGCCCCTGCTTTTAAGGAGTTTTGGGGAGAGACAGAAATTGGACAGCATGATGTGGTCAGTGCTTTGAAAGGGGCACACACAGGGTGTGCTAAGAAATGAGAAGCTCTCTTAATCTGGTCAGGGGCTGTGGGAGGCTTTGCCGAGCAAGACAGTAGGGGCATGTGAAAGTATGGGAAGAGGAGGCTGACCCAAGGGACAGCACGTACATAAGCATGAAGGGAAAACGTGGTGCATCTGAGGAAGGACATTTATCCACTGGTTCAAACCATCTGAGCACTTGCCCAGGGCCAGGCTTGTGCTGGGTCATGAGGACCCCACCACCAACCAGACAGGCAACGTCCCTTGCTCTCAAGGAGCTTACGGGTAGAAACAGACAATAAAAACATATAGGGCCCCTGGGTGGCTCAGTCAGTTAAGCGTCTGACTCTTGATCTCAGCTCAGGTCTCAATCTCAAGGTCGTGAGTTCAAGGCCCACGTTGGGGTCCACGGTGGGCATGGAGCCTACTTAAAACAAATCAAAATAAACAAACAAAAAACGTAAATCAAGTAGCAGAATGATTTCAGAGTGGGCAGTACTATAAAGGGAATAACTCAAGGCAGTGAGCTAGAGAACCTGGGAGAAGCCAGTCAGAGATCTCCTCAAGGGGAGACATTAGAGTGTACACCTGATGGCAAGAAACCCCAATCATGGGTGAGGTGAGAGAGGGAGTCCAGGCAAAGAGCAAGGACAAGGACCCTAACAGGTTGAAACTGGCTGCACCGGAAGCGGAAAGGAGGCCAGCGTGGCTGAAGCACCGTGGACGAAGGACGATGCAGGGGGCGATGCAGGCAGGCCCTGTTACCCAAGGCTCTGTAGGCTCTGGTAAGCAACTCGGAGTTCTTCTGAGTGCAGCAAGAAGCCTCTGAAGGGTTTCAAGAGAGGTGGCGGTGCCTCTGTTTCACTTCCTGGCATCATGAGTGGAAGGGATGCCAGGTAGGAGGCTACTGGCAGCATCTAGGTGAGAGATGGCTTAGTCTAGACAGGGTGGGGGCACTGGAGGAGAAATGGCTGCATCTGAGACAGATTTTGGAAGCAGAACCGACACGACCTCCCACTGGTTTGGACATGGAGCTGTGGGGTCTAGCTCCTCCACTGATCCATTTCCCGGGACCTTCATATGCTGGCGTCCTTCAGCGCCCCTGGCCCTGCGTTCTGCTCTTCTCTCCCTACACACTCGCCTTGGGAAACTTTACCAGGTGGATCTTATCGGCTCTCCATGGTTTCTACCACCTTCTACACACAGATCTTTGTCTCCCCTTTAAACGTCTCAGTAATGCAGAGGCCGAGCATTTCCATCTGACATTCCATAGGCACTCCACGCCTAAAACCAGCCCCTGTCCCCTCCCTCCACCTCTCTCTAATACTTGTGTTCGGAGCAAGAGAGGGCTTCCTGTCAAAGTTCTTTCGCCCCTGGACACGCTAGCAACCCAACTGGCTAGTAAACAGCAATGCCAGCGCATCGACCTGGATCTGGGTCAGTTGACTCTGAAATCCGTACTCCTACTACATACTTCTGTAGTTATTTTATCTTCAACTTGTATCATAAAATCTTTATTTTAATTAGTCTCTAGCTATTCACATTTAAGTCAAGAGAAAATATCACTTTATAATAAATATTAATGTAAGGGAAAAAAAAGGCTAGCAAAGTGGTTTATTCTTACAAGTTATTGCTGGAAAAAGTTCTTCAAACAAACCAGTGCAGTGAAACTGCCTTAGAGAAGTATCCGTTTTTCAGATTTCTTCACAACAGTGTTAGGATGTCTCATCTTGGCATTTTTTGCATCTTCGTGTTCTAAAGAGCCACCACTTCCAGGTGACAGGAACGCTTCAGGGTCTATTTTCATTTCCAAGTTTGTGATTTTTTTTTTCAAGAGGCTACTTTAGGGTCGTGAATTGTTTCACTGTCTTTTCACTCTCTCTTTTGAGTTCTTCAATATGGGCATCCAGGCGCTCTAGAATATGATGCGACCTCAGCTCCTCCTCTTCCAAAAATCTGGTAGCTATGGAACCAAGAGGAGATACCGGCAAGGGACACTGGAGGAGAAACAAATTTTGACATACGTAAGTTGAATAGTGTACTTCTCACATACATTTTCATGCTATTTTCTAACCAGAAATATTAAAAGGTGACTTTTAAAAAACTACTTTTTCTTCTGAAGAGAGATTTGTTTTTATCCTAATAATAAGACTAGAAAAGAAAAAAAAAAGAAAGAAAGAAGCCGTTCTGGAAAAATTAACACAGACCTCTTCCTTTCTGACCCAAATTGTATAAATGTAAAGTGTCACATAAATATATTAGTTATGGGTCTGAAGAATGTCTGTCTAGACTTTGTATAAAGTATACATATAGCCTTTAATAGCCTTTAATACCCCAGAAGAGAGTATACTTAATGTCTGTTACTGCAAATTCACTTTTAAAATCTGAATATGTTACTTTGATTTTAAAGCACAGCAAATCTACTGATAACATATTAGATCCCAAGTGAAATCAGTACTTTCTCTCCTCCAAAACCTCAGTCCATAATCCCTCATCTGAAACTCCTGGGGCCATGGTCTATCAGAATCCAGACCTCAGAAAGGTAATATAGGACATGTACCACACACAGTCCCTCCTCACATGCAGTAGTTATTTCTAGAGTCATCTCAAACACTGAGTTAGTGAATAAAGCATCACTGCTCCTTGGGGAAATACACACACACACACACACACACACACACACACACACAATCATCCTAAAACGATTCATCCTGGTAGAGTCCATTTTCTTTATTTGATAAAAGAGAAAACGAGGTTCAGAAGTTGAAGTGACTTGCCTGAGGCCGTTCGACTAATGGGTGCTAGAACTGGGATTCCAACCCTGTTCACCAGCCCCAGAGCCCACACTCCTGATGCTACACCACGCTGTCCCCACCTCCTCCCCTCTCTGGTCACCTCTGTGTGACAGCTGGACAGAAGGGCAGAGTGCCACCTCGGCCAACCTCAGCTGGCAATGTGCAAGTCTAGGGATTCAAATTTTTCACAGCTCTGCACACGACCACAAATGACCGTAGGAGTCCCTCAAGTATTGACAGAGGGTTACAAATAGTTTAGCGAGTAGGCAATTCACAAACACAGAATCCATGATTAATGAGGATCAACCATATTACCTTACTGGAGTCTGAGGTAATGTCTCATAATCAAACATATTGATATTTCTGAAGTAAAATGCTAAGTAAAATTAAATAAAATCTATACACATTATCACATCAGTTCAGTTCAGGTCAGGTTTTAGTGCCAAGGAAGTTTTGCTGCCAAATGAAGGAAGACAGTTTGCAGGACATTTTTGGATTTCAGAATTACATGTAAGTGAAGTGGAGACTTATTTTAAAAATGAAAAGAAAACCTTCCCATGGACTTGTTGGTACATTCAAAAGTCACAAATACTGAGCTTTCACAGGTGTGGGACCCCTAACTGGTGATGGCAATGAATGGCCAGAGGCGAGTGCTTCAAGTCTGCACGGCAGCTGCAGGAACATGGGGCCAGCGCAGGGTCACCCTGCGTAGTACTGAATCCATGTTCTGGATGCGTCAGATACACTTCCTTCCTCTGCCTCCACCCACCCTCTTTCTCCCTTTCCCACAGTTCCTTCCTTCCTTCTTCACTGTCTAGACCTCAGGACTATCTTGGCATCCAGAGATATTCCTTGAACCAACCATTCTAATACAAAATTGACCCTCTCTGAAAAAGGCAGGAAAGGAATTTCCAATTAGGGTTAAAAACAGGCATGGCTATTAACTTTCAGAACTAAGATGCATTTTGAAAAGTAATCATGGCTGAATGTGTCTTCACAAGCAAAATCCTAAGACAGAAAAACATGAAAATAATACAGAGTACTCAAGATAGAGAACTGGTAAGAAACAAACGAACACACCCCATCACCCACCTTTATCCTTCAAATAAAAAATAAAACCAAACTAAATAGACTTAATAAACTAGTAAGGTGAGAAAGCTTCCATACCGAAGACATAAACTCTTCTTGATCATTTATACTCTCAGAGACAGTGTCCGAAGAATTGGCTTCATTTATATCTAGCACTGAAGGCAAAGAGTTAGTTTTGCACAGAAAGTTAGAAGGCAGAGAGACGGAACTGCAAGGGGTGATCTGAGAACTCAGGGGGCTGAGGACCCTGGACATGGGCTCTATACTATCCAACGCTTGTCGTCTCAGAGAATGAAGACCTGTTTTGTAGTGCTCAGTCTTTATTCCATCATGTCTGTACGGGCCATGGGTTGGCCTGGATAGCAGATTAGAAAACAAAACAAATATAAATTGTAATGACTTTTCTCTTTTAACACAAAACTGTTACAGGAAGTTAAAGGACCTTAAAAATAAAGGAACAGGCTAACCAGTTAAGGCTGTAATTTATAAAATGAGCAGCCCACTCAGACCCCTTTTTCTATCCATTCAGGCCCCATATCCAATCCCCACTGCCAGGCCCCGGCCCTCACACCTGGACAGTATAGCCAGGAAGACGAGCTACCAGAGAAATGGAGTGTGTCTGGTGCTAGGACAGAGGGAAGTACTATGCACACGAGATCTGGTGTCAAGGTGGTAGAGGAGGTGAGGTGTCAGCACGGGCTTTGGTGGGTAGGTAGGAAAACACATAAGCCATACAGTAAGAGCTGAAGCCAGGTGGGTTTTCATGGAATGCTGACTTCTTAAGGTAACAGCTCATAATTAATTGACCAAAAATACAAAGGAAGCTTTCTTCATATAAAAAAGCCAATTTCTACTTCTTATGGTATCAGTGGGGGTTCGAGAGGTGGGAGGCAGCATGGAAAGGCTCGGGGGAGGAAGGACATTGTTTACACATACATCCAGAGTGTGTGAAACTAAAACCTGAATAAAAGTGCTTTATAACCCCCACCACTTTGTAACCTCATAGTAGCTTTACTCGTATACACTGTACTTCAGAGTCAAACACAGGGCTGCTTGAGGAAGATTTAATTTCTGTAAGCCTGAAATTATTCTCAAAGAAATGAGAATTATAATGGTACACATTTTAAGTAAACTGTGAAGAAATTTTACTTGAATTCTGTATTCTTGAACTCAGGTGCTCTGCCGTGTATCGGTTTAAAGAGCCTGTCATGGTTTTTTTTGCACATCTGAGTAGAAATTTCCAGCTTAGATTTAGTATCCATCAAATCTTTCTGTAGTTGTTGATTTTCAGACACTAATTTATTTAATGCCTCAATATAATTCTCCTGGAGGTCTGCTAGTGAAATCTCTTTTGCCTAATAAAAAAGAATACTAGAGTTACTTAATTGGTATAAGAATACTTTTGATCTGTGATACCACTGGTGGGAAATTACATTTTTTTTTTTTTTTTTTTAGTTGTAACTAGTTCATCTATGGCTTTACTTTGGAAAAAGTGACTATTTGTGGTTGGCCCCTCCCCTATGAGAAAACAAGTGTTGTTTCTTACAGTGAATGGGGGTGGAAAATGAGGAGCACGATGGGCTTCCCTGATGTGCCAAGGAAGATCTAAGGAGCCAGAGGAAGGCTGGAACTCAGATGGAGGAGAGCTACAAGAGAGAATCAGAAACAGAAAAAAGAAAGAATAGCATCCATGGGTTCTTCCAGAGTATCTATGGAAGAAAACTGAGAGACCTAGTTCAAAGAAAGACATTTGAACGGAAGGTTCTGAAAAGGAATTCCAGCTGGCAGGGACAACTTTTAAATAAGTACTCTCTGGTCTTAAGGACTTTTCCATAACATTGGCACCTGTTCTGGTATGTGAAATCAATTTGAAATACATGTAAAACAGCATTCAGGTATAAGGTAGGAATTCCTACTCTGATCTGGTCTGGGTTCTGTGATCATGAATTTTACTTCTCAATTCTAGGTGCTTCCTGGTAATACTACCTGAAAAAACAGTAGTCTGGACCATTTTTTTTTTTCTAATGACAAAATATTTTGTTAGCATTCTGAAAAATTATGGTAATTTTCTTTGGAATTTAATATGATGTTTAGCTTGGTCTTTTCTGTAAAGAATTTTCTGAAAATAAGCTGGTCAAGGTGGTTTAACAAACAGAATTAAAACATACACTTTAAAACGTAGCCTTCGACTATTGGTGTGCTGGTAGTGACAATAAGTTACAAAATTTTTCAGTAAGTTGTCAATGCCAGTTAAAATCTCAAAAAAAAATTTGCAGGACATAGGAGTTAAATTACAAACCACTGTTGATTTTTTAAAGGTGGCAAATAATTTTATCAGAGCTACTGCTTTCATTATTAAGATAATTAGATAATTTCATTAAAATTGTTACTTAATCCAAAAACATTCATTTGTAAAAGTAATTCCACCTTCCTAGGTGGTAAAATGCAAAAAGGAACTTTCTAAAAATTATACTTAATACATACAACATGTTGGGGCACCTGGGTGGCTCAGATGGTTAAGCGTCTGCCTTCAGCTCAGGTCATGATCCCAGGGTCCTGGGATCGAGCCCCGCATCGGGATACTGACTCAGCGGGAAGCCTGCTTCTCGCCCCCGCTCTGCCTCTCGGCACCCCCCCACCGCTTCTCCCCCCGCTCATGCTCTCTCTCTCTCTGTATCTCAAATGAATAAAATCTTAAAAAAAAAAATACATACAACATGTTCACACTGTGTGTAATTTCAAAACCAAAGGAAGTTTAAAATGCTTGATGGGATTTTGACCAGCCAGAGTCTGATATTTGATGTCATTAAATATATATTTTTAAAAAGACAGTGCTTTGCTTTTGCGAGGCATCTTTTAAAGTTGTCTCAAATTTATTATTTGATTAACAACAATTCAAGAAAAATTAATGTGAGAGGTAATATAAAAATTATGTGCCAAGCACACGCTGGGCTGTGTGAAAAAAGGACAGGATTATCACTGTTAGATGGGATTTCAGGAGAAATTAAGCTCAACAGAATCTCTGGTCATATTCTGGCTTAAGCACCCCTAGGAGTTCCCAACTCTTAAATATGAACAGATAATCACTGCATAAGATTCTCTCGATCAGGTATTGCCAGCCAAATCCTGAGCCTTTTGAAGATTCTGTGGTGTAAATCAGGTGGTTCTTGGCTTTCTCCATACTAGCTTCATATTGGCTTTATAGGGGCAAATAAAATTATCTTTCTTCCTTCCTTCCTTCCCCCAACTTCCCCCTTATAAAGGGTTTAGCTGCTTTCTCCTCTCCTCTTGTTCCCATCCCTTGTGGGTTTGCACTTAAAAAAATCCTGTCATTATATTTTTAGAGGGATTTGGGAAGGAGCAAGATTAGATGGATATTTTCACCTGCCACCTTAAATGACAACATAATAAATCCTTAGTATAGATAGCCACAGATTAACCATCCCTCTAGAGGCTAACATTTAGTTTACTTCAAAATTTTGTACATTGCAAATAACTTTTTATAAAATGACCATTTCAGCACATTTGCTCCTATAGGATGGGTTCTTTGGGAATGCAAACTGATTTGACCTTTCTGGAGAACTACTCTGCAATAATTATCAAAATCAGAAATGCACATGACCCAGAAGTTTATACGCTATATATATTTACAAGTTTAATGGATATTGCTAAATTGTCCTCTAGAAAGGCTATACCAATTCACTTTCTCATTAACAGAGCATGAGAGCCTGTTGCCCTATATCCTTGCCAATATTAGCTATATTCATTTTTAAAAATCATTGTCAAGCCAGTTAGCAAAAAAGTACTTACTTAGTTTTGATTATTAAGGATGCTGAACAGCTTTTCTTGTTCACTGGACTTTTGCATTACTTCTATGAATTATCTCTGTTCTTTGTCCATTTTTCTACTGGATTCCAATCTTTTTATTATCTTTCCAGGAAATCCTTATATTAATATATTAACTTTTGTCTATTCATAGATTGTTTCTCCCAGTCTATTAGTCTTTTTTATAGGGTATTTTGCCACCCACAAATTTTACATTTTTATTTCGTAAAATTGTTTATGTTGTAAAATTCTTTATGGTTTCATAAGGCTAAGAGAATCTTATTGTCCCAAAAGATTATGAAAATAGTCCCCGATACTGTATTCATTTAACGTTTTGCACTGTCTCCCTCCCCAGCCTCCATAATCCATGACTGTGAATATAAAAGTACTTAGTAGTGAATAGGGCTGCTGTGTAGCCTACGTCTCTGGTGGCACAGAGTCTCTGGAAATGCAGAAAGAAAAAACTTCTACAATCTTTGGGCATTACATCTAAAAAAATGTATGTACTTTAATTTAAAATAGGTCAGAATAGATGGGTCATTTTGCAAATTATAAGAATTTTATAACAAAATAGCTAAAAGGCCATCCATACCATTTATGAACTCACTGTTAACTGACCATGTTCTCCCCGTTTCACCAGAGCTGGCACACACCTCTTACCCCTCCAACTAGTTTACTCTCAATCTCTTAAAGGCAAGAATTCTATCTTACTCATCCTTGCATACAGTACATTGCCTGTGAAAATACTTTGAACACAAAAGATTCTAGAATATTCGACTAAACGAATTATATCTTATAGAAATATAATTAAAACCAAATTATGTAAAAGATGATATACTTCATAAGAAAAAGGTATTATGAACATAATAATTCTAACAATAATAATAGCACCTAACATTTATTGTGCACTTACTAAATGCCAGGCACTATGCTAAGCACTTTATATACACGCTCCCTACTAAGAACATAGACTGTACATGTATTTTGTCATATACGTAATATAAAAAAATCTCCCAGTTGCTGAAGTGGAGAGTGATATTTTGCTCCCTGCCATCATTGTCTTGACTTCTTTTTATTTGAGCAAGTTTCTGCAGAAGGATCATTCCATAGTTTGATCTTAACTCTCTCTTTACAACATCAATATTTACAAAGTGATTTCTTTAAAAGGCCTGGATAATAGAAAAACTTAAGTTTCTATTATGTACCTCGTGTAAACCCAATTCCAATTTCATCACCATTTCAGAGAGATGACGATTTTCTAACTTGAGTGACTCCATCTGATCCAAAATCTCCTGAGAAGGGAAAAGCAGAAAAAACAAATAAATGCACCTACAAAATCCTTCCATGTATAATTTTCCTTATCTTCAATAAATATATATATTTAATTATATTAATATATTAATAAATATATAACATATTTATATATAAATACCTTTCTAAAAAGATTTTTTAGGGGTGCCTGGATGGCTCAGTCAGTTAAGGTCCTGGGATCGAGCCCTGAGTCAAGCTCCCTGCTCAGCAGGGAGTCTGCTTCTCCCTCTGTCCCTCCCTGCCACTCATGCACATGCGCTCTTTCTCTCAAAGAAATAAAATCTTCAAAAAATAAAAAGTAAAAAGATTTTTTAAAAAAGGGTGTCAAGATGTATTAACACACATGAATTTAAAATATTCTAAGAAGATGAATGAGTTCAGGGCTCCTGGGTGGCTCAGTCTGTTAAGCAGCTGACTCTTGATTTTGGCTAAGGTCACGATCTCAAGGTCCTGAGATGACTGTGCTCAGTGGGACGTCTGCTTGAGATTCTCTCCCTCTGCCCCTCTCCCTGCTCATGCTCTCTTCAAATAAATAAATAAATCTTTAAAAAAAAAAAATGAATGAGTTCCCTGATCAATCCCTCCCACTCTCCAGCGTTAGCCTCCTCTCATGTGGTTTCCACCTCCAACATCATATGGACTGCACTCCTTTCACAAGAGAATACAGACATACCTCAGAGATGTTGCGGGTTCAATCCCAGAGCACCGAAATAAAGCAAGTATCACAATAAAATGAGTCGAATACTTTGGTATCCCAGTGCATATAAAAGTTATGTTTACACTATACTGTAGTCTATTAAGTGTGCAATAGCATTACGTCTAAAAAAAATGTATGCACTTTAATTTAAAAATACTTTTTTGCTAAAAAATGCTAACCATCACCTGAGCTTTCAGTGAGTTGTAATTACTGATCACAGATTACCATACAAATATAATAATGAAAACGTTTGAAATATTGCGAGAATTACCAAAATGTGATACAGAGACATGAAGTGAGCAAATGCTGTTGGAAAAATGGTGCTGACTGACTTGCTCATCACAGGGTTGTCACAAACCTTCAATTTGTGAAAAATGTAACACCTGCAATGTGCAATAAAGCAAAGTGCAGTAAGACCAGGTGTGCCTGTAACTTACTCTCCCTCCTCATTCTCCTCAGCTGTATGCTCCACCATTCCTACTTGAAAAAGACTCCTGCCTTCTTTGGTTTCCTGCTTCCTTTGTGAAAACTATCTAGTTTTCTTCCTTATTGCTACTTTTTTTTAGCTCTATTCCAACACCTTTTTACCCTAAATAAGTAGTTTCCTAAGTGTGGTTCAATCTCTGTCTTCATCTCTATGCTTTCTCACCACATTTTCTAAGTCTCTCAGGGTGTTTCAAATGCCCACTCCATGCAGAGATGCCCACAGCCAGATGTCTCACCCGATTTTAATCTTGAACTCCAGGTCTTCTGTGGAATTGACTATTAGATATTTCCATACAAACGTCCAGCCTTAATCTCAAACCAGTGTCTGCTCCACCAGCTTCCCTATTTTGTGTTACTTTCAAACAAATTCCGTATCTGTCCTAACCTGCTCCCTATCTTTTTCTCTATTTCACTAAAGGGCATCACTTTCTACTCAGTTGCCCACATTGCAATCCTGAGTGACATCTTCCCCTAACTCTGTCTAACTCGCCCTCCCTGTCCAATCAAACGCAAAGCCCAGTCGATTTTACCAGCCACATCTCAGAATTCCTGCATTTCCCTCTACCTCCCCTGCCCACTACTCAGGCCACCATCTTACTGCTGTAAGAGTATCTGAGTGGTCTCTCTGCCTCCTTGCTCACTCTCCATATCACCACCATAGAGACCCTTGATGCCTGCTTACAGCCATTCTCTACTGGCCTCAAGAGAACACTAAGCCCTTCCCACCCCGGCAGGGTCCCAGGAGCCAGTCCCTGCTTCTCAGTTCCACCCTTTGCTGCACTCACCCTGTGCGGACTCTAGTCTGTCCCAGCAAACACATCACACTCCCGCCGTGCACGACAGACACGCCTCTCTACTCTGTACTCACTCTCACCTCCCCACCAATCCTCACAGAATGCTTGTGAACCAGCACACCTCAGCCCACCGCAGAAGTCTAATAAAAATTTGCTGAATTAAATACTATGGAAATTATATCTGTACTGAATCCCATGTTCAAAAACACTTCAGATGAAGAGTTTTTGTTCAAGCTTCACCTTATGTTCTACGGCTTTTTCTTCTGCCTTTTGTATCTCTGCCTTGAGTCGCTTTTCCATGTCAGAGGACGAGCTTTTGGTGGAAGCAATAGTGATGTCTCGCTGGTGTAACTCCCGAGTTAGCTGTGAGATTTCCATCTTCATTCCTTCTAATGCAGAACTGTAACTTTGTTCAGCCTGTAAAATCTGTTCTTTCAACTACAAAGAAACAGAAGGGAAAGCATAAAGAACAAAGAGAAAGCATGTAGACAGACAAATATGTTAATAGTTAAAAATAACAAGGCAATTTTTACCTTACCCCAAGACATGAATTTTTTCCTTGATTAAGTTCTACAGAAAATTAGCAATTTACCAAGTTGTATGTCTACATGGAAGGTCAGATGGCTAACCCCACAATAATTTATTAATCTCAAAACAGGGAGAGATGGGTTAATTGAATGCTGAGAACCTGTGTCAAAGTCCATGTACACATTATTTAGAGGACAGCAACTGTGACCTTCATTCTTTCTTTTTTAGTTGCAAAGCTAACAATTTTGTGTATATGGCTTCCTTGTCCACAGAAGACAAGAGAAAGGTAAGAGGAAGAAAGAAGCCAGAGTACTCTCAAGTAATAAAAATTATGAGTCAACAAACACAGCAGCCAGGGCCCATTAATGTAGAGTAGAGACAAACAGCTCCACATACCTCAACAGCCAATGAGGATATTAACTAGACCAAGGCACAGAATACATATCCATGACCACCTTCAGTCAATAAGAAAATACTAAATGCTAGTTCATAGAGTATCTTTTTGAAAGCAAAAGAGTGTAAATCTTTTAGAACGTTTAAAATAAAGCTTAGAGTTCAAAGAGGATAGGCTTCAATTCCCTTGAAAACATTTATATGGCATCCCTGAGGATGACAAAGACTTTCCCTAAGCACATTCCGGGTGCATGTCTACTCCTGAATATCAAGTGGCTCCTTGGCCCACATTTTTCTCTCATTAAATATAACTCCTATGACCTCCCAACCCACAGCTCAGTCCATATATATATACAACTTGGCGACTGCACGTAGGAAGATTTTTACCTTCTTAATCTCTGCCCTGTACTCATTGTTATGTACTTCCATCTTCTTCAATTCTTCATATTTTTCCATTAGTTCTTGGCTCAGTTGTTTACATGTTGCACTCACAGACTCCAAGCTGTATATATGACAAAAATATGATCACATACTTCAAACAAAAACCCTGAAGCACACAGATTCAATTATCTAACTTATCTTTTGGTGTCCAAGAATTATCTTAAACATCACCTCCCACCCCAAATTAAAACTCATCTCCAATTTCCTCATCACCAGAGGCAACTAAATCCAATTCCAACTTTTGGGGATACTTTTGATTTCTGTGTTTACCTATAATCTTTGCCTCTGCTTAAAAAATTTAACTGGTTATAAAATTCTAAAGATTACAGTAACTTCACTACTTTTCTCTCTCAAATTGTGTAAGAGTTACCATCATAATTTTAATCTTCACCATACTTAATTACAATTCCACCCTACACAGCTTTCACCTTGTCACCCTTACTTAAGAATCAATCCCTCATCAGATATGAGAACCTCAGGAAACCATAACTCTTTTTTTTTTTTAAGATTTTATTTATTTATTTGAGAGAGAGCAAGAGGGAATGCATGAGCATGAGCAGGGGAAGGGGGAAAGGGAGAGGGAAAAGCAGGCTCCCTGAGCCGGGAGCCCCAAGTGGGGCTCCATCCCAGGAACCTGGGATCATGACCTGAGCCGAAGGTAGACGCTTAACCGACTGAGCCACCCAGGCACCCCAAACCATAACTCTCTTATCTCACCACTCATTTCTGTTAATAAAATTATTTTGCTCCTTTCTCAGGGAATATTTTGTTCAAACTAAACAACACAAACTGTCTAAAATGGGTTCCTTTTTCTATTTGCCTTTTGGTAGAAAAAATATTTTTAAAGACATTGTTTATTACTGAACACTGGTGTATGTTTCCATTTATTTCAATTTTACCTATTTCTAAATATCCTAGAATGCTCATTTATTTGGTACTTAGTATGTCAGTACAGTGTGTCAAACACTGAGGCAGAGAGAGAAGAAGAATTATAGATACTCCTGTCCTAGCTACAGATGGGAAAATTGGGGCTTAAAGAGGCTAAGGATCTAAGGTCACACTGCAAGTCAGAAAGAAGAAGTAGGTCTTTAAAGCCTGAAGGGAGCACAGTAAAACATACCTATGTGTCAGATACTAAAAAGTCAATCAATGGAAAATCTATGATAGAAAATGTAAATTTTAGTTCCAATGTCAAAAAGAATAATAAGCTTTGCGGAGCTTGGGTGCCTCAGTCAGTTAATCAAGACTCTTGATTTTGGCTCAGGTCATTATCTCAGGGTTGTGAGATCAAGCCCCACATCAGGCTCCACACTGAGCATGAACCCTGCTTAAGATTCTCTCTCTCCCTCTCCCTCTGCTCCTCCCTGTTGACACTCATGCTCTCTTGCTCTCTCTCTCTCAGAAGGAAGGAAGGAGGGAAGGAAAGGAGGGAGGGAAGAAGGAAGGACGAGCTTTATTTTATTCAGTTTGAAGTGTATACATCTTGGGGCACCTGGATGGTTCAGTTGGTCAAGCATCTACCTTCAGCTCAGGTCATGACCCCAAGGTCCTGGGATCAAGCCAGGCGTCAGGATCCCTGCAGAGTGGGGAGTCTGCTTCTCCTTCTCCCTCTTCCTCTCTCCCCAATTTGTGCTCTCTCTCACTCACTCTTTCTCTCTCCCTCTCTCAAATAAACAAAATCTTTAAAAATAAATTTAAAAAATGTACACATCCACCTCAATAATGATAACGAAGAATATCTTAAGTATTCCAAGGTGCAAAACAAATAAAGCAAAAAACCGTATGTGCATGGTATTTAGTATGTAAAAAAAAATACCTGGTGGTTTCCAAAAACAGAAATAAAAAGTAAAAAATGTATTACTTAAAGATAAACTTAAAAGGGTAAAATAGCAATATTTTTATTCTTTGTTTGCCTAAAGGCTAATAGTTCATATATTTTAAAATCTTTTACATACAGAAAATGTTAGTGTACAAACGACATTTCATGTTTAAAACAAAATATCAACCTCTTCCCAGTCACAAAGTTTAGAAGTATGACAAACAAAAGTTCCCAAGTATGATGATGAAGCAAGTGAACTGGGTATGCTCTAGCATAGATCAGGATTTCACTAGCACCCACGGAAATAATCAGCAGTGCTTCGGGACAGAAGAAAGGAGCACCATGTGCCCAGTGTGCCCTCGCTGAGAGCAGCCCCAGCCTAAGTGAAGACGTTCTACACAGGCAAAATGTAAAATTAAAATTAGTACAGTCAGTACAGACAACTCTTTTGAAGAACTTGATTTTGAAGGACAGCAGAGAAATATGGAAATAACTTGACAGGGATATAGAATTCAAGGAGGGTTTTAATCTTTTCCCAATATGGGAAATATTAAAGCCTACTTTATACCAGTGGGAATGATTCAGCAGAAAGGAAGAACTTGAACAAACAAAAAGTAAAAAAAAAAAAAGAAAAGAAAAGAAAGGAAGAACCTGATGATGTAAAAAGAAAATAAAAAACTGTGCAAACAAGACACAAGTGAAGTCTTAGGGGAACAGACATGTCATCCATCAACTCCTGCATTCTAAACAGACTATAGGCACAGACGCACGCAGACTGGGAAATTTGGGGGTAGAAAAATTAGGAAGCTCTCCTTTCACTGCTTCTGTTTTCTCAGTGAAATAAGAAGTTAGGCTACCTGTGGATGCTAGAGAAAAAACCTTATTTTTCCACTAAGACTATTTTTTTTAAAGATTTTATTTATTTATTTGAGAGACAGCGAGCACAAGAAGGGAGAGGAGCAGAGGGAGAGGGAGCCCCCGCTGAGCGTAGAGCCAGATGCAGGGTTCCATCTCATGACCCTGAGATCATGACCTGAGCCGAACTCAAGAGTCGGTTGCTTAACCAACTGAACCATGCGGGCGCCCCCTTCACTACGATTATTACGTTAGTTTACTTTATCAATATGACGATCAAAAATCATTTTTAACAACTTGAACACTCTTGAAATGTGTATGTCATTATCTACCTGCCTTCCAAACGAGTCACCTCTGCCTGCAGAAGTTCTTCACTACTGTGGGTGAAATCCAGCTGGGATAGCATGTTGCCTAAGTCCTCCTGCTCTTGCGAGGTGTACCTCCTTCCTGCCTGTGACTCCTCCAGTGACCTAAAGACAGAGGAGAACTGTTAAAGGCCTCCGATCTTTGTAAATAAAACAATGCATAATCAGTTTGTATCTCCCAATTGTCTTTGGTAATGAAACGCTTTGGAACTCTTCAGCTTGTCTCCTGCTTCATGAAAAGAACACTTGGGAGAGTAAAGAGGCATGAGATGATGCTTCTCAAAAAAGTCAGCAGCAGTTTACTCCTTTCTCAACTGGGATTTGGCCTGTTTTTCAAGGGAAAAAGACAAAACGACAAAACTTTTGTTTCCACTTGATACCTTGAGCCAAAGAAACTGAAAAGTTACAGGAAAGTTCTGCCAAGAATAGAAATGTGTATCAGACTTAAATCAAGCAAAAGGAGCATAGCTCCTTCTATTACTTTCTACTACAAGCCTCACGAAAATAATTCATATTTAGAAATATAATGAGTTTTAGGATTTTTTTTTAAATGAGCTATCTCAATAGCTGGCTTATTAATGATGTTGATGATAAGCAGCTACTTATCATGACCTATTCTACCAAGAAAGGGAGGCCTTCCAGGAAACATGGACGACAATTCCTTTCACATTTGGAGTTTCACCAACAATACAGATTGACCAAGTGGTTTCTACTTTCTAAACATTACAGTCTTTTGGTTAGGGACCCAAACTGGATGCAGAAAAAAAACTAACCACACAAAATCTTCTAACACTATAAAAATTTAACTCAGAAATTAAAAGTGAATAAGAAAACCCATAATGTGATCAAACACAAAATTATGAATACATAATATTAACACTGGTGCTCAATGGCAAACCACCAAGTGGATATAATTAATACTTAAGATTAAATAAAAAATAATAATAATAAGACTAAATATACCTTAGGGCCTCTATTGTGTGTTGAGTGTCAGTTGGCTTTAACTTTGCTTGTAGCTTCTCCTTTTGCATTCTTTCCTCATGCATGAAATTTTCT